CCCGGGGGGGTGGGGCGCCGCGGCAGGGTCCCTGCCGACGGCACCCAGGGGCTGGGGGTGCCCCCGCGGGCTGCAAAGAGCCCTTGGCCACAGGCCTTGGACTTAATAACAATAACAATAATAATAATGGCCAGTGTTCACCCGGTGAATGACCTTGTGCTCCATTTTGTAATCCTCATAATGATGCTCCGAGGAAGTTATTTAACAACACGTTGCACAGTCCTTATTCCCCTTATGAAAAAAGCCATTAGCCGAATAATACCGAAGGCCTGGAAGGAGCAAAAAGGAACAGGCCAACTGTGACCCCGACTCAACCCTGCACAGCCTTGCTCCTGGGCGGCATAGACTGGTGCAGGCAAAGGTGCTGGCCAGATCCTCTGGGGATTTAGCCCCCAGCTATGGACAAAGGGGTTTTTTCCTCCCTGATGCTGATATCTGATGGCACGTCAGGAAAAAAAAAATCTGCCACGGAGATTGCAATGATGGAAAACTCAAAAAACCCCAGGGCATTAGACCACATTGCAGTGTAGGACTGGTTTAGTGCCATGGATGCAGGGATGAGCTCCTGTTTTCCTCCTCCTGCTGCTCCTTGCCGCCTCGTGCCTCAGTTTCCCCACCTGTGAAATGGGGCCAGCTCGCCTTGGGTAGGTGGCGAGAGCCCAGAGGTGGTCCCGGATCCGTGCAGGAGCCCAATCTCACAGCCCAGGCATCCCTTGGGTCTTGGCCTGTGGTTGGTATGGCTCATTTGCAATAATAGGCAACGCCATTGTTAATGTCTTTAATGGTACAGGAAGGATAAATTCCATCACTTGGCTGAACAGAGAAAATATGCAGAGAAGTGGCTGGCTTTTCATAAATCATCAGTGCTTGGTGCTACAACCAAGCCAGGACTTAAAATTCAGGTCAGGAGAGAGGGACTCTCATAAGCCAGCAAGGGAAGGTAATTTATTCTGTTTATATCTTTTTACTGCAAGACAAGGGGAGGGGGGGGGAACTCTGCCATGATTTTGCATTTTAAATATTAGTTCAGAGCTGCAGCCTGCCTTGGACTTTATTTATTTATATCTCAGAAAAGAGAGAGAGAGAGAAAGAGAGAGCACAGCGAGGAAAGGCTTGCCTGCATGGCACAGGGTGGTGTGAGGAATCAATATAGTTTAACTGCCACATCTGATTAAGAATTACAGCTCTGTGCAAGGAAGGATAAATAAGATGCCCAGATTCAGGGCTTTAGAAGGATTGCAGCTGGGCAAGGCCATCTTAGAAACGTCCTTGCTGCGTTCAAGGAGCAGCCCTGGCCTTGCAGGGTCTCAGACTCGTCTTAGGGACTAGAGGCAAAAGTGAGCAGAGAAAGGGGATGGCGGGGAGGTGTGTGACTGGGGCGAGGACGGAGGCGGAGGGAAGCACGGGCTGCGGGACGGGAAGGGAAACCTGTCGGCCCACGGCATGCCAGAGATGCCCTGGGTCAGACGGAGCAACCCCGGGTCCGCACCTGGCCAGAAATGCCGGCGACCTCCCAGGGAGCCCTTGGTTCCCCTCTCCTGCTCTCCCCACCCTCTTTACCTTCCCCTCGGACCAATCCGATGTTTTTGGCCCCAAACTAGGACCAGGTGTGAGAAGGGCCCAGGCTGCTGGATTCGGGCTGGAAAACCCGGCTGGTGCCAGGCCGGCTTCTGCAG